AGTGGGACCCTGCTTCTTGGGCCTGGGGTGAGCTGGAGGAGCAAGGGGCCATCCTCATCTTGGCACAGAGGTGGAGAGGCCTGGGGCACCCTGCCTCTGGCACCCCCATGCAGTTGCCATCTCTACCCTCCCCACGCCCACCCCCGAGGGCTCCTCACTCCTGCAGCAAGCACTGGCCATCTGGGATTCTGGCAACTGGGGACAGAGGGAACTCTGATTCTGAGAGCACACCGCACGGTAAGAAGAACTCTGTGTCTTCCTCCCTCCCTTCTCCAGGAGGTTCTTTACACTGGATCCATCTTGAGCTCTGATATGGGGGCGGGGCAGGGGGGAGGGAGGCGGGGAGCAGAGGGGAGAAGGCAGAAAACAGAAGCAGTGACCGCAGCCTCCACTCCGGACCTGCGGAGCACTGAGCCCCTCATGCTTTAGTGCATACAGTTCCTTATTTAACCAACAAACCACATTCCCCAGGATCTGGTACTTGAAGCTAATTGACACTTGTATAACAATTGCCGATCACCCTTCCCACGGCCCTGTAAGCTCGGGGAGGATGGGAACCCAGCCTGCTTACAGGCTCCGGGATCCTTTGTGCCAGCCTGTGCCTGGCACACATCAGAATAAAGGTTTGCCTTTGCCCTGACCTCACTACAGCAGGGAGGCACTGACCCTGACTGTTACCCCATTTGCTGACGATGACACCGAGGGCTGCCTGAAGTCACAAAACGGATGACAGGGGACACGATCCTAAACCAAACCCACGCACCTCACCGCACCATTGGGTCTTCTGTCCGTGCAGCCCGAGGGCTGGGGGGTGGGGGTGGGGGACAGGGGACTATGGTCCAGAGGGAGCATGGGACCCCCACAGGCGACCTGACACCCCACCAACAGAGAGGCTGGGGGGTGCCAGAAGCTTCAGTCTCGGAGCAGTGCCCAACCCCGTGAGATATTAACCCAAGAGCCGGTGGAGGGGGGGATCTCAAACAAATACCCTATTTACAGAAGGTGGAAGCTTTCCAGGAAGGAGCAGATCCCACGCCAGATATTGGGTGGTGGGAAGCCGCTGGGAGGGGAGTCAGGGCAAGTGCCAGGGTCTCCCAGGGGCCAGGGTGCAGGCCAGGGGCAGAAAGCATCCTAAAGCGTCGCCTGCTTGGTTGCCGGCCTACCCAGCCTAGGGCACCTAATCCACAGAGTGGGTGACATTAAAAAAATGCAGAAATATAAGGAGGCAGGGACGCACCTCCCTGCTCCCTGGTGCCCCCTGGAGGCAGAGGGGCGTTGCAGAATACTTGGGTTCCCAGCTTGCAACCAAACTTAACCATCACACCCAGACTGAGCACCATATACCAGGAACTCTAAGTACTTGAGATCCACTAGGCCATTTAATTCCCTCAGCAACCACATGGAGCAGGAGTTATTAGAATCTACAGCATGCAGATAGGCAGCTGAGGAATGGCAAAGTAATCCGCCATGGACTATGTACGGTTCAAGGGTCTATCTGTCCCTAGACACACACGAGCAGGTGCGCCTTAGTTCCAGACCCAAAGTGCCGAGCTTTCCATGCATGTTCTCACCAGAGGCACAAACAACCTAGGAGGGACACATTATTTTGTTTTCCAAATGAACAAACTGTGGTTCAAAGATGTGTGAGGACCTGCCTGAGGTCCCCCAGCAAGTGCCTGGCTCTCTTCCCCACGACGCTATGGGGCAGGAACTCTTTTCCTCCACCTCAGATTTTGTTTCTGCCCAGGAGGCTCCACTGACTCCTTAAAACTCTACATGTCCTCAGGCACCGAGCACAGATGATCTCTTACCGCTGGTAACTGTGCTACAAGCATGTGTCATTTTGGCCACGCGACTCAAAGCTTCTTGGCGGGGACCTTGTGTGATCCATGGAGGCTCCACGACACAGTGAGCCTATGGCTGGTTGGTGGCAGATGAAGGAGCCTCAGCTGCACGAGATTGCCAAGCGATATTTACCAGCCTCCGTACTGATCAGGGTCCTTATCAGTCAACATGTGGCGAACAGCACCTACCTTGGGTTGCTGGGGAGATGCCATGAAATAATGGCAAGGAGGTGGTGAGCAATCATTATGGAGTGATCTCCCAGGAATCATGCCTGGGGAGAGCCTTCTGTTCATTCTGGCAGGTTTCCTCCTGCCAACCAACAGTTTTAGTGATTGAGCCAGATGAAGAATGATGGTCCCCAAACCGATGACCCAGCAGGGGGCCCTGAAGTGGCATTTCAGGAGTCAAGAACAGCTGAGACACGCTGACGATGGCAATAATAACAAGAACAGTTCTTTGCCTTTGTAAAGAGCTTCAAAGTGCACCCAGTGCTTTCATGACTGGGGTCTCGTTTCATCCTTCCAACAGCCTTCAGCGTTAGAACACAGATAGGAAAACTGAGGACCACATAGGCGATGGAACTTGCCCAAGTTCACAGTGAGCCAGACGCTGACCTGGGGCTTGAACCCAAATCCCCAGGTGGCTGATCCTAGGTTCTAGCCACGATAGCTGCTCGAGTAGGCTGGCTCTCGGCATCCAAGCGCTCTGACTTTTCATTTTTAAATCATCTGGCCCAGTCACCCTGTTCAGCTTATGACCCAGGTCTGATGATATAGTCCAGGCTTGGGGGGTGAGGAGGGAGAGCAACCATTGTTCCGCTCCCTATAAGGCAGGCTGCAAAGTCTCGGCCTCTGCTGGGTACTTCTTGGATTAATATCCCCCATCAGCAGATCTGCCACATGCACCCCAACTGCATGTCTGAGGCCAAAACAGACTGCCCTTCCCAACCTGTCCTCACGTCACATTTATGTCAACACCATCATTTTGTCAGTTTTACGTGGTAGAATGGGGATTTGCTTTGCTCTTTTTAAAAAGCCATCATCTCAGGACGCCTGGGTGGCTCAGTTGGTTAAGCAGCTGCCTTCGGCTCAGGTCATGATCCCAGAGTCCTGGGATCGAGTCCCACATCGGGCTCCTTGCTCATCAGGGGGCCTGCTTCTCCCTCTGCCTCTGCCTGCCATTCTGTCTGCCTATGCTTGCTCTCTCTCCCTCTCTCTCTCCGACAAATAAATAAATAAAATCTTTAAAAAAATAAATAAATAAAAAGCCATCATCTTCTAGTGACGCCAAGACCAAGCTACCATCCTCCCTGTAGGATATGCAAGCATTGTTGCCACTGAGGGGTGACAGTAAGTGTCCACTGTGTCTCCCCTCACCCCCACTGTTCTCCAAAATTCTACTAGCTCAGGGAGGAAGCCAGAGCTGGTGGCACCACCAGCTGGTGCTAAAAAGAAAGGCTTTGAGGTAGACACATGTAAACAGTTCCTCCTCATGGCCACTGCCATCATCACAACTGTTAGATACCGAGCACTTAATCCATGCTAAACAGTGCACTAAGCACTTCAGTGTGTGATGTCCCTCATTAAGCCCAACAGCCCTATTTTACAGATGAGGACACCGAGGTGGTCCCTTGCCCAAGTTCTCACAACCAGGGAGCAGCTGCAAGACCTGATTTACCTATAGTGCTCTATGGCCATCCTTTTTGTCTTAATTCCACCAGCAGTCACCACAAAGATGGAAGAAGATCACTTATAACACCAAGCCAGAGCATAATGGCTATTTGTCATCTGAAACAACTCTATATTTTCTCTGACTACCATGTTTGTACAGATCTGAAAGAGTGCTCCTTTAGATACTCCGGGACCCTGCATCACAGGGACAGCCCCTGACATTCTCCCCACCATTATCTGGTTCCCACTCTTCCCCTCCTCCAGTCCTATTGTCTCCTTATTGTTTCTTAAAACCATCAAGTATATTACCTCATGACCTTTGCACTTGCTGTTGAATGCTCTGCCTGTAGACGGATGCATGGCTTGCTCCCTCCCTCCCTTCCGCACTTTGCTCAGATATCACCTTATTAGAGACCTTCTCTGATCAATGTCTCCACAAAGGTGACTCCACTCTCTGGCCCTTGCCATGGCCCTTCCTGCTTTATTTTTCTCCATGACACCCTACATATGTTTCTTATTTTCTGAATGAAGCAATGAACAGAAACAAAGACCCCCTCACCACTGCAACCACCTCTTGCTCTAAGCATAGCCTCTTGCTACTCTTTTAAAAGCTGCCTTCAAAGCTCATTCTAACCATTTTGAACCGTGAAGAAAAACATTCTGTGGGAAAGATGAAAGGGGGTGTTTTTCCCTGTGGAGGCACTAGGCCTTCCTCCCTCCCTTCAAAGCCAAGCGCACCGACAGGCACTGGCCAAGACTGGAAATCTTGGATCCCCGGTCCAACGAGCTGCTAGGTCCATTTCCACACACAGAACTATGGTAGCCAGCAGTCAGTTTCACTTTTAACTCACCCATCAGGCTCCCCTGGCCCTCAGGTTTGCAACCCCAACCCATCCCTTTCCCATCCTGTTGGATTTCCTGCACCTTGTCATCCCTTTGGGGAGCCGTTCCAGAACCCACGCCGTCCCCGAGCTCTCAAGCATTGCTTTGGAGGAACTTAAGCTCGTCCAACAGGTAGGAGGGGCAGAGGCCAGCCCTTTTTGCCCGATATCGATCCCCCATTTTGTAGGGGCATCCGACAGGGCGTCATTTTCTTTCTGGAGGAAGGGAGCTCAGTTTTAAGGGCACGTTTCTCAAACCTGGCAGCAGGGGCGGAGAAGGGAGCCCTCCACCACTGGCAGAAAGGGACCTGTGCAAGAGGTTGCAGCGGCGATACCCAGGCGCCTGAGGCAGAAGGGAAAGGGGGGAGGACGCGGATAAATACCCTGGGCACCGGGAGCCGACAGGATGCTTGCTTCCTCTGCGAGGAAAGCCGGGGATGTGACCCGGAGGAATCGGGGGCCAGAGCGCCAGGGAGACAGGGAATCTCCAGGCTAGGGCCGGGGTCTCCGGGAGACGGGGATCGGCGGGGCGGAGCTTGGGATCCCGGGGACTGGAGCCCCGCGCAGGAGGGGGTCGCGGCGGGGGAGACCCCGCGGCCGTTACCTTGCCCTTAGGGCTGCGGGCGGGGCTGAGGGCCGCCGGGTGCTGGCTCCGGGGCCCGGCCCCTCCCCCGATCCGGCTCCTGAGGCTCGGAGCCTGCAGCCGCCGCCGCCTCCGCTGTCAACAAACCCCGGGCGCGTCACTTCCGGGGCCGCCCCTTAGCAACAGCGAACGGGTTCCCCCGACGGGTCCCGCGGCGAACGAGGGCGGCGGCGGCCGAAGGTTCCGGGGCGCGCGGCGGCTCCTCTCCCGGCGGACCTCGTCTGCGGACGGCGGAGTGCGGGCGGGCCCCAGCGGGCCTCGAGCTCGCTGCTCCGGGTGCTCCCTGGCTGCGGGGAGACCCACCGCGTGACCCCGGCTTTGGGGCCCGCTCTGGCCCGCGGGCCGGCAGAGCCCGGGCAGTGGTGACGGGCAGGACGGACTCCACCTCCCGCGTCACACCGACGTCTCTCTGCACGCCGCCCTCCCCCACGCCCCAAGCCCATCGAACATCCCCAGCCGGAGCGCGGCAGGTAGCGCTCTCCCACGCGGCCAGACGCGCGCCGGCTTCGCCCGCCACTTAACGGGCCGCCACGTGGGGGAGTGGGAGTCGGCCTCGGCCCCTGCCTTGCCCTCAGCTCTGGTTTCTGTCGCCTAGTCCCGACGAACGCGCAGACCAGTGTCTCTCCTCCCCCCTCGTAGTACGCGGCTGCGTCCACCAACATCTCCTTCCCGCATGCCCGCATCCCCGCGGCGGCCTCCTCACGCGCCCTCCCCTCCACCTCTTCACCGTCCCGGAGGGGTTTTTCCTGAACTTGGAGATCGGCGACTCCCCCGCCTACAGCCCTTAACATAGACGACTGGGATCACCTCTCCAGCCTCTTGTGGTCCTCCTCTCGCTTGGCCTCCCTTCCACTCTCCAATCAACGCAGCTTAAAGCATCTTTGGTTCTTGGAATGATCCCCTTCTCTCCTGTAGGCTCAAATAGTTTCTTCCCAACTGAACGCTCTTCTTGCTATATCCGTATCCAACACACTTCCTGCTATCTGTATGAAACACGCATGTGTGTGTGTGTATATATATATATAAAATGATATATTTATAGTCCTTTATAACCTTTAGTCCTTTATTATACATGTATATGTATATAATATGCATGTGTAGCTAAGAGCTAAAACTATAAAACTTTGAGGACAAAATATAGGAGTAAGTCTTGGTGCCTGGGTTAGGCAATGGTTTCTTACAGGACAGCAGAAGTATCAGTGACAAAATATAAACAAATTGGATTTAATCAAAATTTAAAACTTTTGGGGCATCTGGGTGGCTCAGTCATTAAGCATCCGCTTTCCACTCAGGTCATGATCCCAGGGTCCGGGGATTGAGCCCTTCGTCAGGCTCCCTGCTGGCTGGAAGTCTCCTTATCCCTCTCCCACTCCCCCTACTTGTGTTCCCTCTCTCGCTGTGTCTCTGTCAAATAAATAAAATCTTTTAAAAAAATATTTTACTTATGGGGAGCCTGGGTGGCTCAGTGGGTTAAAGCCTCTGCCTTCCGCTGGGGTCGTGATCCCAGGGTTCTGGGATTGAGCCCCGCATCAGGCTCTCTGCTCAGCAGGGAGCCTGCTTCCCTTCCTCTCTCTCTGCCTGCCTCTCTACCTACTTGTGATCTCTGTCAAATAAATAAATAAAATCTTTAAAAAAAATAGTTTGTTTACTTGACAGACAGAGATCACAAGTAGGCAGAGAGGCAGGCAGAGAGAAGGGGGAAGCAGGCTCCCTGCTGAGCAGAGAGCCTGGCATGGGGGCTCTATCCCAGGACCCTGGGATCATGACCTGAGCCAAAGACAGAGACTTAAACCACTGAGCCACCCAGGTGCCCCTTAAAATCTTTCTTTAAAAAAAGTGCATTAAGAAGGTGACAAGATAACCCACAGAATGGGAGAAGATATTTGCAACTCATATATCTGATAAAGAACTAGTAATCCAAAATATGTAAAGAATTTGCAACAAAATAACAAAAAGGCAAATAACCCAATTTACAATAGGCAAGAGCTGAATAGACATTTCTCCAAAAAAGTTACACAAATAAAAGTCAAGAGAGAAAGACAAGTAACATATGGTTTCACTCATATGTGGAATATAAGAAATAGTGCAGAGAATCATAGAGGAAGGGAGGGAAAACTGAGTGGGAAGAAACCAGAGAGGGAGATAAATCATGAGAGATTCTTTACTATAGGAAACAAACTGAGGGTTGTTGGAGGGGAGGTGGGTGGGGGAATGGAGTAACTGGGCGACAGGCATTAGAGAGGACACATGACGTGATGAGTACTGGGTGTTTTATGCAAATGATGAATTACTGAACTCTATGATGTTCAGTAATTCTGAACTGATGATGTACTCTATGTTGGCTAATTGAATTTAAATTTAAAAAGTTGTATAAAGGACCAACAAGCATGAAAAGATGCTCAACATTATTAGCCATCATGGAAAAGCAAATCAAAACCACAATGAGAGGGGTGCCTGGGTGGCTCAGTTGGTTAAGCATCGTACTCTTAGTTTTGGCTCAGGTCATGATCTCAGGGTCCTGCAGTCAAGCTGTGTGTGTTGGGCTCTATGTTAACCTAAGACTTGGCTTAGGGCTCTTCCCCCCTCCCCTCTGCTCCTCCCCTGACCTCTCTCTCTAAAGTAAGTTAAAAAAAAACAACAACAACATCAACAATGAGATACAACTTCCTATTCTTAGGATGGATCTGATCAAAGAGACAGCAATGACATATTTCTGAAGATGTAGGGAGATGGGAACCCTCATATATTGCTGGTGGAAATTTCAAAAGGTGCAGCTGCCTTAGAAAATAGTTTGGCAGTTCCTCAAAAAGTTAAAGTTACCATATGACCCAGCAATTAAACTCCTAGGTATATACCCTTAGGCAATGTTCACAGCAGCATTATTCATAACTATTATGAATTATTTCCTCCAGAAGAGGAAACAACCCAGATGTTTATCAACTGGCAGATGGGAATGAGATGGCATGATATGTTCATACAATGGAATATTATTTGGCAATAAAAAGGGAAGAATTACTGACAGGCTGCACCATGGATGGACCTTGGAAATGTGCTAAATAAAAGAAACCAGTCCCCAAAGGCCATACATTGTATGAGTCTATTCATATGTTCAGAATAGACAGATCTATAGAGACAAAAAGTAGATTAGTGATTGCCTAGGTCTGAGGAGCGGGGAAAATGGGAATGACTGCCAGTGGGTACAGAGCTTCTTTTGGGGTCGGCAAAAATGGGTTAAAGTTAGATAGGGGGGTGTCTGGGTGGCTCAGTCTGCTCCGCAAGAGGCCTGCTTTTCCCTCTCCCACTCCCCCTGCTTGTGTTCCCTCTCTTGCTGTGTCTCTCTCTGTCAAATAAATAAATAAAATCTTAAAAAAATAAAGTCAGATAGGGATGATGATTGCATGGTTGGTGGATGATAGTTCTATATGTATGACTCTGTGAATATTCTGAAAATCACTTGTAGAGGTCAAGGACAGGCGGTCCTGAGATGGTCCACATTGGCATAAGGGTTATTTATGCAATCAAAGCCTAGCAGACGGAGCACCTGGGTGGCTCAGTCGTTGAGCGGCTGCCTTCAGCTCAGGTCACGGTCCTAGTGTCCTGGGATAGAGCCCCACATCGGGCTCCCTGCTCGTCGAGAAGCCTGTTTCTCCCTCTGCCAGTCCCCCTGCTTGTGTTCCCTTTCTCGTCGTGTCTCTCTCTCAAATAAATCAATAAAATCTTTAAAAAAAAAAAAAAAGCCTAGCAGATGCAGGAAAAGCTCTTTGCTACCCCTTCCTGGCTTGCCCCCCCCCAAACCTCTGCCTTAAAAATTTGATAGAGAACCTGCTCCAGGAAGAGAGCTATCACCATAGATAACTACATTATAACATGAGTATACAGCAGAAGTATCCATGCAAAAGAAAAAAAAAATCCAAAAATTTTGCCGGGCAGTGGCGACAGTCCTTGGCCCCTGCATTTCCCTCAGCTCTGGTTTCTGTCTCTCAGTCCTGATGACCTCACAGACCAGTCTCTCTCCTCCCCGAGTAGTGTCTCCCATACAGTCCGGTGCCCTTGAATTGTTCACTTTAAATACATACACTCTAAATGTGTAGTATATGAATTATATCCCAATAAAGTTGTTAAAATGGATTTATTTTTTTAAAAGATTTTATTTATTTATTGACAGAGATTACAAGTAGGCAGAGAGGCAGGCAGAGAGGGGCGGGGGAGCAGGCTCCCCGCTGAGCAGAGAGCCTGAGGCGGGGCTCGATCATCCCAGGACTCTGGGATCATGACCTGAGCCTGATGGGGAGGCTTTACCCACAGAGCCACCCAGGCGCCCCCAAATGGATTTATTTTTAATTTTATTTATTTATTTATTTTTTATTTTAGAGAGAGAGTTTGTGGGCATAAGCAGTGCGGGGAGGAGGAGAGGCAGAGAGAGAGAGAGAATCTCAAGCAGGTTCCATGCCGTGCGCAGACCCCAATGCAGGGCTCCTTTGCGGCTCTACCTCACGACCCTGAGATCATGACCTGAGGCCAAAATAAACAGTCAGATGCTTAACCGGTTGAGCCAACCAGGTGCCTCTATCCCTTGTGAATAGAGATACAAACATTCTGTTAGGAATTTTTAAAAAAAGATTTTATTTATTTATTTGACAGACAGAGATCACAAGTAGGTGGAGAGGCAGGCAGAGAGAGAGGAAGGGAAGCAGGCTCCCCGCTGAGCAGAGAGCCTGCTGCGGGGCTCCATCCCAGGAACCTGGGATCATGATCTGAGCTGAAGTTAGAGGCTTTAACCCCCTGAGCCACCCAGGCAGCCACTGTTAGGAATTTTTAGCAGAATAAAAACTTAACAAAATAAATTGAATTCTCAGTAGAATATCCTGCCACACAGTCTGTAGTAATTTGTTACGGAAGTCTGAGGAAATGAAAACAGTAGCCTATATAGAAAGTTCTAGGAAATCTACAAAAAGGCTTCTCAAACTAGTGAGTGAGCCTAGCAAGATTTCAGGAAACAAGATCAATAAAAGCAATTAAAAGTAAGTAATAAATAATAATTTATTATGAATTAAT